GACTTTAGGATCCACATGTCAATACCACCCCCTTCGGTTTCGGTTAGAGGTAATTGCACACTCACACAAAGACCCACGACAATGACATGCGCATTGCCGATTTTCGGAAATAAACGAAGTCTGTATTGTGCCATGAGGGTCCAAAGATATGCGAAGGGTGGTTTTTACCTTTACGCGCAGCAGAGAGCGGGGGGTAGCTGTGGGAAAAAGCGCAACAACTGAAACGCTTTACACCTGAGTACTCCGAAAACAACAAATTCTTGTTCCATTGTGGATAAGTACTCGCCAAAAGCCACCACCACCACCCATCGGAACTCGGCGATGTGGGGGTTATTCTCTTGAGCACGAACAAAACATCGGCCTCCGAATCACGAATTTTTCGATTCGTTTGGGGGGTTCTTATATTTTTGATTGTGTGGATGAGTCCGCTCCGCTGGCTTTCCTTTGGCAAGCAGGTGTAACAGTTATTGTATTTGTTTTTTGTTGGATTTTTACGTGGAATTTTTGCTATCGCAGTTTCATGTGCAGCCATCCATCTCCTTCTAATGTGCGGAAGAGCGAGATATACGAGGATGTGATGTCCTTGTTTGGCCTGTAGTTAAAGTAACAATGCTGTTGCTCGACATTCGAGTGTCTGTGTGTGTGTGGGGGGGTGAGTGTACGTGTGCCACAACAAAAATAACAATAGAGGTTTTTTCCAACAACAACGGCAGTAACAAAAACAAAAACAGCACAGCGCTATCACTTCAAAGGTAAACGAAAGTCTAAAAAGTACCAACAACTTTGGCCAAGGCAAAACAAAAACACAAACATATGAAAAAGTTTGACAACAACAAATAATTGTATGCATCCACTGGCGGAGAGGGGTTTCAGTGGGAAAGCACCTTATGTGTCTGTTTTCGTTCCACCCATACACTTTCACCCTCACTCCCACCCTTGGAAGAAGGGGAAAAATGACCCAAACTCCCTCTCTTTCTCTCGACTACTGCCATTATTTACCATTCGATAAAATCAAATCCATTTGCACACGAAGGTGATTTTTTCGGAAACTATATTTGAAATGGGTCAAAGGTAACAGAGAATGTTTGAAACACACTGATACACGTGAGCGGACGAGGGGTGTTTTAGCCCTTTTTGCTGCGAAATTGAGTTGGATTGTGTTACTTCTATGCCAGAAAGGAGTTGATGGTTGTGAGTGGGTTTGAGAGTGAACATTATTTTACAAAATTCCTCACGTGAGTGATGTAAAATGATGTCGTGTCGCACTACAACACGTTTTGTTTGGGTCGTTTTTTTGTTTAAGAGAGTTTCACCACTTTTGAAGCTAGCTTGTTTTAAGAGAAATAACTACTTTGATGAAAGTGTACAATTACAGAATGCAGTTATTTAAAAACATTTTTATAGTCTACAACAGTTGTTTTAAAAACTAGGCTGGTGCTCTTAAACGCCTTATATTTATCATACAAACATGATGTAGTGTATCGATCTTAATTTCTCGACGAGCTGAGTCGATCTAGCAATGTGTCTCCGTTAGTCTATTTGTTCATTGTAATTTGAAATGAAGATTCTGCCACATTTGTCGTACGATCTAGCCGAAATTAAGCATGGTTAGGGCCAGAAAGGAAGCCAATTTTTTGAGATGGTCGTAAATAAATATGGTCTTAAATACTTAGGGGATGAAATGGACTAAACCCCGATTTTTTCCTTAAAGGCCACAATCGATGCGAGATTTCGCATCACAATATGACTCGCTAAATATAATCGGATTATTTAGCAAGTAAAATGGACCATAGAATTTCTGTAAAAAATTCTAAAGTTTCCATTTAACGCCTGAATATTTTCAAAGCTGAAGGTCACTTTTCGGCGAGATCACAATTTTTGCTGCTGTATATAGTTAGATATCGGAGATGTATTCAACAAAAATAAAGGAATACGTTAGAAAATCTTTTTGACATAACGCATAAATATTGTTTGATTTCCGAGAAATATTGAACCAATTGAAATCAATGAACTATTTTTACACAGGGTTGCCCATATTCGACGGACCTTTGGGCCCATTGCAATCGACGAGGCTTGTCCGCATGCAACATTCTTTGCGTCAATTGAATTTTGTACGGGAACAAATGCAAATCAATGCGAATAATCCGTTATAAAGTGGACCGAGCCATGCCCAACTGCTGAGAACGGCGTTTTGGGGATGTTCTTGGGGACCTCTCAACACTGGCTCGTACGGCAGCGATATTCTCGGCCGATCGCCTTGGTCGACTTTTATATGGCCTCTTCGGATTAGAGCCTTACCAGTCGAAAAGTTTTCGTATAAACGCTTAATGGTGTTCTTAGAAGGCGCACTTCTCACATTTTTTTTTTCACAATTGACTTCTTCTGTTAAATGTAAATTTCAGAGCGCTCGCGTGGCGTGTATTGGTTCATAGTAAAAATCTGCTTGGACTGACGCTTCAAACGCGGTATGTCATTAAGCGATGTGACATCTCTGTCAAAAGTTATGGCGTTGCAAGATGGGTCCGTCGAATATGGGCAACCCTGTATTAACTTTGTCATTCGGTTTGTAACATCCCTAAGTATTCGTTGTAGACCTCATAAAGAATATATATTTATGTCTTTCTGTCGATTGAAATCACGATACAGCTCACATTATTTGACGCAGAACTTCAAAATTTGGCTGGATGGTTGGAATTGAAAATGAGATATGTCGGTCCACGTTTTGTTACAGCCACCATATAAGGATATCTCCCGATATTCGGTATTTTTATGATTTTTGCCAAATTTTTCTACGGATTTTCGTTAAAAATTGGTATTTGTAGTTCGCAAATGGTTTCTAGTTTCTGTGGCGGTACATAGTATACATAGGTCCACGTTTTGGTATAGATCCCATACAACGATACCTTTCGATATTCGGTATATTGATGATTTTCGCCCCATTTTTTCATGGATTTGTCAAAAAGTTGGTATTTGTAGGTCATAATGTTTTCTAGCTCCTGTGGCGAAAAAGACGGCATCTCCCGATATTCGGTATTTTCATTATTTTTGACAAATTTTTTCACGAGCTTGCCTAAAAATTGGTATTTGTAGTTTATAGTGTGTTCTAGTTCCGGTGGCAATACATTTAATATTTAGGTAGACGTTTTCCTATAACGCACATACAGGGTTGCCCATATTCGACGGACCCATGTTTTTTTTTTTTAAATCAAAGAAAAAAATAAAAATTTGGCGGTTGGCATTGTTAATCATTTAATTTGATCCAAGTAGATTTGTTTACATCACTTTTTGAATATGATATCTCTCAAATGGCCGCATCTGGCGTTGATGACGTATTGTGCCCTTTTTGCTGCATTTTCCATAGTTTTTGCCAAAATTTCAGCCGGAATAGCGGCTTTTCTTCACGAATGTTGTCCTTGAGCTCTTCTACGGTCCTTGGCTTGTTAACGTAAACCTTTGACTTCAAATATTCCCACAAGAAGAAGTCAGGCGGCGTCAAATCGGACGAACGCGGTGGCCAGTCCAAATCACCACTTTTCGACATCAAACGGCCCGGAAACAAATTGTTCAGAAAATCGATTGTTATGCGACTTGCGACATTATAATTTTGTTCCAAAATTGTTCGTCATCTTCGGCCATTTCGATGACTCTTTGGGCCCATTCCAATCGACGAGGCTTGTCCGCAGGCAACCTTCTTTGCGTCAATTGAATTTTCTATGGGAACAATTGCAAATCAATGCGTACAATCTGTTGTAAAGTGGACCGAGTCATGCCCAACTGCTGAGAACGGCGTTTTTGGGATGTTCTTGGGGACCTCTCAACACTGGCTCGTACGGCAGCGATATTCTCGACCGATCGCCTTGGTCGACTTTTATATGGAGTAGAAAGAGCCTTACCAGTCGAAAATCTTTCGTATAAACGCTTAATGGTGTTCTTAGAAGGCGCACTTCTTACATTTTTTAATGTTTTAAAAGCACGTTGAGTTTTCACAATTGACTTCTTCTGTTGAATTTAAATTTCAACTATTTCGAGCGCTCGCGTGGCGTGTATTGGTTCATGGTAAACATCTGCTTGGACTGACGCTTCAAACGCGGTATGTCATTTAGCGATGTGACATCTCTGTCAAAAGTTATGGCGTTGCCACATGGGTCCGTCGAATATGGGCAACTGTTTTGGAAATGAGTGCTAATTTTATACGAAAGTAGCAAATGTTTCTTAATTTGGTATTGAGTGAATATGTAGAGTTGGAATTGCGAAATTTGATATTGAGTTCTCTGTTGGTTTCTAGTGTTTACGTGAATGGAGACGTTGAAATAATTTTGGACAAAAAAATTGAATGTGGGTCCATTGGTGCAATGGTTCATGAACTCGGTCTGACATTTTTCGAATTTAATAACTTAAATTGATTTATTTTTAATTGGTTTCATTGTCCTTGCCATGAATTAATTTCATATTTATATACTATTTCTCATTAACTCCAACTATATTTCCTATTGACGTTTCGAATGTGGGTTATCGCAAAATAACACATCAAATATTTCCTTAATTTTTCCAATACAATTTCCTGTTTGAATTGGACCAGTACGCTTCCTCTCCCCCCCATACAATATCACCAAAGGGAATTCAGTCATGCAATGCAACAACCTGTGGGACAACCACACAGTGCAGCAATTCTGATGAGAACATCAGTAACACATGAACTAAAGAGTTTATCATTTCGAAGGGTTTCGAAGAGAACAAAATTCAATGTCCCATGCTCACTCGCTCTTAGAGGAAATGGATGGAATACATTCCAATTGGAGAAATTCTTATTTTCAAACTGTTCTAACAGGTAGATTAGCGTAGTAAAGGACACGACAAAGGTTGGAAGAAAATATGCAGCACGGGAGAACGATGATGATAATGGCGTTTGTTGTTGCACGGCAGTCGCCGTCGTTCGTCATCGTGGTTTGTGCGAATGGTGGTTGTTCTCCTGAAAACACCACATCAACAGGCATAACTCTTATTTCAAAAGAGCAAACAACCTGCTGCGATGGTCGTGTGTGATAACTCTGATGGGTTATGACTTCGTCTTCACCTGAAGAGGAGAGTGTGAGAGAGAAAGAGAGAGAGCGTCAAAAGCAACAGTCAAATGGAATGTTGTGAGTGCATGCCGTAATGAGAGGAATAATAAGCAACAGTCCCGAAGGCAGTCAGGCGAATGCAAGAGCCACATGGATACAACAGGAAAATACAAACACGCACACACATACACTGATATGCTTTACACGACGATGGCCAGAGGAAACACAAAACGAATGTAGGAATATGGCATGTCATCGTCGTTGCCGTCGTCGTGTACGATTCTCAACTCCGATGTGTTGTAGTATATTCAACAGATTCATAAAAATACAATAACAACAACACACAGGAGGTAAAGGAGAAGAACAAGAGCAGTAACAGCAACAGCCGAGGCAACAATTCCAACATGATTTTGCTGTGTTTGCATGCGATGACGATGATGATGAATGCGACGAGCAAACCAAGAAGGAACGACGAAACATTTCTGTGCTGTTTTGGGGTGAGTGAATGTTTTGGGTGGATTGTGGATTTGAATGAGTGTGTGTGCGTCACGGCGTGTGTGAGCACGCAGTTGCCCAATGCGTCGACGCAGACAGCAGCAACAGATTGAAAGCATTAACAAGTAGTCCAAAACACCACACAATGAGGATAATGATGATGGAAGAACCCGATGATGATGATGCCGCTGCCACCAATGACACCTTCATTGCTGGCGACGTTGACTGCGCCGTTGGCATCGATGATGGCACAAATACTCCGAATAAAAAAATAGGTATATTACCTTAGAATGCCAGTCGTTCTTACTTCAGTCTTCGTACAGTCTTTGCTTTAACCCGTTCCAAATTCTGTCCGCCGCCGTTTTGCTCTATATTACACAATACAACAACAACAACTACTACTACTACAATAACAATAATAATTTGAACCATAATCATTAGAACAAAAGAAAATACCAACAACAACTGCAGCAATACCACAATCATTCTTTAATAGCAATAGCAACAACCACCATAATTTCAAATAAACAAATATTTAAGCTAAAACAAAAAAAAAAAAAACGACAACAAAGTCGAAATAGAGTCTCAAAAAACAATTGGAATTCTTGTGGATAAAAATAACAACAACAATTTAGCAAACAATTGTGAAATTGAATTCGAGAGAATAACAACAAAAAATAGGTAACAAAAACAAAAAAAAAAAAAAAAAACAAGATATTCAAAAATCTAACAGTGTTGGCCAAGGCGAGAGAGAGCGAGCGTGTTAGCGTTTTATGTTTTGGCAGTGAAGTTGTGGTATTTTCAAGTGGCTGCAGAGAAAGTCCCAGAGAAAGAGAGAGCGGAAAGCAGCATAACCTCATTATTACGGTGTTTTGATGTCCAAACGACATCATCATCATCATCATCATCATCACCACCATTATTGAGCACAGGCTTCAGTGACTTCAACTTCTCGTTGGCCAAAAGTCCCAAAAGAAGTCATGCCAACTGGCAGCAAACCTTGCCGCAGCAGTCACAGCAACAGTCATCATCAACGTCGTTGTCTTTGAGGCAGCAAATCCTCCCCCTACACTCTTCGTTTCGAAAAAGTTGGACCACTCCATAAAGGCCGCGTGCTCTTTCTCTCAATAACCATTACCACCACCACCACCGTTGCCGCTGTTCACTGTTGCTCGCTCATAATAATCGTCATCATCGTCAGTATATTTTGAGCCTCCTCACGCGTCCACATTTTCCAACCACACACACACACACACTCTCACTCACAGCCAAAACGAAACGACAACGAAAAATCAAAGTTGAGCTTAACGTTCAATTCGAATACGGCAGTAATAGCAACAGCAACACACCGGTACCGTACCGTTTAGTTAGTTAGTCAGTCAGTCGTCGTCGTTGTTGTCAGTCGTTGTCTCGTCTCTCACACGCAAAAACCAATCAGCCAACCAACCAACCAGCCAGCCAGCCATTCGGCCAACAAACCAATCAACAATACACCTTTACCACCTATTCCTATTTACCGTCATCATCATCAACGCTGCTACCACCACTACCAATGCTAGAACTATTATGTTTTTTGTGTTACCAATAAACGCGCGTTAACAGCACCAACAACAGCAACAACAACAAAGTCAACATCATCAAAAACTATTTTTACTCTATTCTAGACCTTAGAAGAGAAGTTTTTCACACTTGGCTTTTCATTTCCGAAATCTCATTCTTATAAATCACAACGTACGTTTATGTCGTCGCTGATAACAAAATCGTCGTCTCTAATACGCAAACAAAAGAATTAAACAAAAATAAATAAAAACATACATATTTTAATTGAAATTCAATAAATAAACAAAATTAGAAAAAAAGAAAAAATATTTTAAAATTCAATACGCGAAATTAAAATATTTTTTAACGGCGCCCTAGAAAAGATCTTCTTAAAAACTGGCAAACTTTCATCTAAAAAAAAGAAATAAATTAAATTTCCTTACTATGAGCTGTGCGTAACAATCAACATTCAAAATACCAAAAATACAAATTTCAATTTTTTTTAATTTTTATTATTTTCGTCTGAATTAATTTTTTTTTTGTTTTAAAAGACATTCACCTCTAATTTCTTGTTTTATCCCCCCAAAAAATACCTAAGAAAAAAAAAAAAAAAAACAAATAAAATACAAAAAAAGTGCAATTCATAACTGAGTGTATGTGTGTGTGAGTCTTCTCCAAATTGTATGTGTAAGCTTGTATTTGTGTTATTGAATAAATATATAAAAACAAAAAAAAAACCAAACCCGGCTTCAAAGAAGCAAAAGCAGCAGAAGGGTTTGTTTGTTGGTGTCAATTAAATGATTTTAAAGAAATTCCCTCCCCCCCAAAAAAAAAGTATAACGAAAACAGGTTTTTTGTTGTTATTGTACAACAAAACCACCACTTGAGAGTTAACAACAAAAAAAAAGTAATTAGACATCGCATATAAGAAAAAAGAGAGAATATACAACAACAAGAAAATTGAATTCCTACACTTGTTACACGTCTTGGCACGTCCAGTCCATAGGCAATTGTGTTGGTAATGTTTTGAAATCCCTCAATTATTACTTCTCTCGCCTTCATGCATAGAACTTTTCCTAAAACTCTCCTCTTTATGTTCTTAGCAAATTTCCTGACGTCTCTCAAAATCAAGAAATTTGCATTACTTCCTATCTCAAATAGTCTCTCGATATACTTCTTTATTGTAGTCATAATTACTATTCAAAGTATAAAATTTAGTTTTCAAAATATCTTCTCTTTTGCCAAATCTCTCATTGGAGGAATTGGCATTACCTTCTACCACAATCTTGCCAAGAAAACTATAATTTTTATTTATAATAGAGAAAATACCGCTTGAAATCCTTTTGAGAAGTCTTTTTCATACAATTTTAAGAGGAAATGAAGCATTAAATATATTTTTAATTTTCAAAATATGCATTGCAAATTTGGAAAATATGTCATATTTAAGTTTTCATATATATAACATTATTTCTTGAAACTTTGTCAAAATAACGAATAAAAGCATTTGCGACACATTTTATGTTCAAAATATCAAAAAATCAGCAATTTTTCTAAAGACCTTTATTCGCTGTAAGTTATTTCAGAAAAATTATGCATTCACTAAAATGGGTCTAATTTATTGAATTAAAAAAAAAATTACCCTGAATAGCAGTATAGTGTTGGTCATTCTACTTGTAATAGGAATGAGTGGATATCGTTAATGTAGGAAAAAGATTCTAAAGAAATATTATGATAAATATTATATAGAAAAAAATTATTTTTGAAAAAACGTTGTATCTTAATATGGAGAATATTCTGTTAAAATATTAAGAAAAAAAATTAAATAAAAATATTTCTCACACGTTTTATATTCAAAAATTTATGAATTAAAAAAAAATTGAAATACTTAAATAAAAAAAAATATTTTTAGTAAAATTAGCTCGTTTTGAAGAAATTTCGAATTCCTAATCTATAAAAATATGAAATGAAAAATCTGACCTTTATAAAATATTTCATTTGTCATTTTCCCATATCAATCCAAACATCTGGGTCAACATATACGTTAAGAATTTCTTTTCTTTATAAAATGTTAGCGAAAAAGCATTTTTTTTTAAATATTCCTTAAGGAATATTTTGATAAAAACTATATAGAAAAAAAAATATTTTCGAAAATCGTTGAGTAAAAATATTAATATTCCAACAAATGTTTTTCAAATAAAAAAAATGAATAAAATATTTCTCATACTTTTTATATTCCAACATTTTTGAATTAAAAAAGTACATTTGAAAAATCAATTCAATCAAATTTTGAAGTATTTAAATAAAAAAATACTTTAGAAAAATAGGGACGTTTTGAAGAATCTGATCTTTATAAAATTATTTTTCACTAAGATTTTATAGAGGAAACAATTTCAGTTTCCTATTCTATAAATAATTTTCAAATTCCTATTCTATAAAAATATGAAATGAAAGATATGATCTTTATCTCCCAAACATCTGGGGTATATGTTGACCCAGATTTTTTATTTCATATTTTTATAGAATAGGAATTTGAAAATTAAAATTTTTTTTCTTTTTTTTAATATTCCTTAAGGAATTTTTTGATAAAAATTATTAGAAAAAATTTCTTTTCGAAAAACGTTGTATTACATGCAAATATCTCAAAAAAAATGAATAAAAATATTTCTCACAATTTTTATATTCAAAAATTTAAGAATTAAAAAATACATTTGAAAAATCAATTCGATCATATTTTGAAATAATTAAATATTTTATATTTTTAGAAAAATAGGGACGTTTTGAAGAATCTTATCTTTATAAAATTATTTTTCACTAAGATTTTCTAGAGAAAAAATTCTTAATTTTCAAATTCCTATTATATAAAAATATGAATTGAAAGATATGATCTTTATACTATTTTTCATTTGCCATTTTCCCAAAAATCTAGGGCATATGTTGAACCGAAAAATTATTTTATTGTGTTTTTAATACTCATTTTACTTTCTTATTATTGAGAATATTTCATTGGCTGATGTTGTTGGGGTTCCGTTAAAATCAATTAAAAAAAATTAATACATTAGTTAATACAATTAATTCATTGGTTGATGTTTTTGGGGTTCCGTTAAAATCAATTAAAAAATTAATACATTGAGTTTTAATTAAAAAGTAAACATTTTTAAAAATATTAATATCTTTAACCTTTACAAAAAAATATATATACAATTTTTTATAAAAAGGAGTATAATAATGGCCAATATTGTTGGAGAATATTATTTTAAAATAATAAGAGTCCAATAAATGTTATTCAAAAAAAAAATGAATAAAAATATTTCTCAAAGTTTTTATATTTAATAAAATATGAATTACAAAAAAATACATTTGAAAAATCAATTCAATCAAATTTTGGAATACTTAAATAAAAACAAAATATTTTTAGAAAGATAGGGACGTTTTGAAGAAATTGCAAATTCCTATTCTATAAAAATATGAAATGAAAAATCTGACCTTTACAAAATTTTTCATTTGCCATTGTCCCATATCAATCCAAACATCAGGTTCAACATATGTGTTAAGAATTTTTTTCTTTACAAAATATTAGCGAATATTCTTATACTCCTTTTACTTACTTATTATTGAGAATATTTCATTGGCTGATGTTGTTGGGGTTTCGTTTTGAAACAATTATCAATCACTAATTCAATTTTTCATATTATTTCGGAAAATAGAAAAATGAATTGAGTTTTAATATAAAAAACTTAACCAATTTAAAATTTTTTTCTCTTTAAAATATTACCCAAAAAAGTATATAATTTTTTATAATAATGCGTATAATATTGACCAATATTGTTGGAATTCTTAACAATCAATTTGATAAAATTTTTTAAAAATCAAATGTGAATATATTTTCCAATCAATAGGAATTATTTATAGTAATACAAATTCCTCATTCTATAAGATTTTAAAATTTTGAATTATTTCAGTAAAAAATATTTTATTTGGTATGTTTCTTTTATAAAAAGTAAATATTCCACATTTTTATACAACCGATTCGAAAATTATATCAAATAATGTATTCACCAAAAGGAGCTGTAAAAAACTTAAATTTTTTAATAGAGAACATTACGTTAAATAGATATAGTTGGTGTTGTTTCTAAAAAAGAAAAAAATATTGAATTTGTTGAAGGTCAATTCGCAATTTAGAATTCAATATTTTAAAAAAAAGAAGAATAAATAAAAAATAAAGTATAAAAATATTTTGCAAAATAAAAATGGTGAAAATATTTCGTTACATTAAAATTTGATCGAATTGACTCTCAAATTGATTTTTTGGAGGAAAGAGCATTTTTAGTACCGTTTTAAATAAATAAATCCCATTAATAGAGGATTTTGATAGAAAACAAACAATCTGCAATTGTAATTTTTTTCTTTTAAAAGAGTAAAAGTCTTGCTAAAACATTTCTTTCTTATTTTTCGAACGAATTGTATTTCTTGGTTAATACTTTTTGTAGAAATATTTTACACATATTTTTTCGTTCCGTTAAAAGTTCTGTTAAAATCTTACCGAAAATACCGAATGTAGCCGTTATATTAGGGTCTATACTACGACATGGACCTGCATAGGCAACTTTTGTCGTAAGCCATTACAGTATTCAAATGCGAAACTTGAAAAAAATTTGGTGAATAATGGTGAATAATGTCGCTTAAGTTATCAAAATACCACAAATAGGGAGGTACCATTATTTATAGGGGCCATACCAAAACGTGGACCTACATGACCCATTTTCAATACCAAAAGTCCTGTAGACATCCTGTTTTTAAGCATTTTTTCACACTTAAGTCACTGTAACTTTGCGATGTATGTCAAAAAATTTTGATTTTTTTGAGAGGTAACACTCGACCCGGACGTAGGGAAATTGTTTCGATAATTTCTTCTATAATTTTATTTATCACAAAAATAATGGCAAATATTTTTGTAAAGCTTCCATTTCTATTCCCACTTAACCACATATTATTCCAAAACTCTAACGGTCTATTTATATAAAATGTTTTTAAACTTTATTCGATTCCAAAAAAAATCAAAAACTAAAAAAGAACACAGAATTGCTGTTTTGCATTCATATTCGTTTGACATACATAACCCACCATTACATAAAATAGTTTTTATTATTTTTTTATAATTTTTAACATTTCTGTACTTCAATAACATATTTGTTTTTCAAACAAAAATATTACCAACAAATTTCCTCCTTTTCCTGACCACTCAATCATTTAATCACTTTTCAAGAACATGACTTTTAACAAACATAATTTGAAAGATATATATATTTTTTAATATTTAATAGATGTTTATTTTTAGACAACCTTGTCCGAAACATGTGTTTTTTTTTTTTTTTCTTCAAAATTCCTTTTCAACTCTTAACAATTTTTTGCGCTTTTGGCTCTTCTTCTGGGTCATTTATCTTGCTTATTGTTTGAGGCTCGTTTGTGGCTTATTGTCCTAAGATTTGTGTCTTAGAAAAAAAAAAAAAACAACAAGACATATAACCAGGCCTAAAATAATTACTTGCCAAAGAAACATAAATGACTAAACCTACTTGCTGCCGAACAAAACAAAACTTGCAGGTTAGATGAAATTTCAGATGGCGGCATGGCAAGAATAAGAGGAACAAGAAGAAATACAACAAACAAACAAAAAAAATATAAAAAAAAAATATTGACAACGTGCAAACCTCAATAATACGAATAGCTGACAAAAAAAGAAGAAGACAAGCAAAATCACCAACACCCCAGTCAGACAACCAACCAGCCAGCCAGTCAGTCAAAGGGAACGAAATTCAAGCCATAAGCCAGTCTGTGAACTAATATGCCGGCCGCAGCTAGCCAAGCAAGTAAATCAACAGAAAAAAGCAAAAGTTCGTTGATACCTTAGAATGAATGACTGGCTGGCTGGTTGGCTGGCGGGCGGGCGGGTTTGCTTGCTGAATAATTGTTTGTAAGCCTTAGAATTTGAGGGGGGGACGAAGTAGAGACACTCGAATAAAGGCCATGCAAAAGATAAAACAAAAAGAAGAAATGAAGAATAAACGAAAAATATAAACACAAGAAAATAAGAATTACACTTGAAACCAGCCCAACCAAAATCGACGAAATGAAAATACTCTTTAGCATGTCATGGAATGTGTGTGTGTATGTGTGCGGCCCAAAGAACCGGCATAAAAGTGATTATCCACACAACAAACAAAAAAAAAAAAAAAAACAGCAAAAACCCCAAGTAGAGTCAAAAGGGAGCGAATAAATACCACTTGTCCGAAGGCCTTTACGAAGCAGCCAAGTAAAGGAAGAGTTGAAACACGTTTAGGCTCGAATCAGAAGACACAGAAAATAAAATAAAAAAAAAAAAAAATAACAAAAGTATTAAGCCGTACACATTTTGCTGAATTTGTTGATGTTGTTTGTGTAATTCTTCTTTAGACCAAGCAACAAACACACACACATTCACTCGCTCGCACTCACACTCATACATTCCTAAACATGGAACAAAAACATGGTACCTGACCGCCAAAAGCCAGTCGCCTCAAACCGAGCCATAAACCAAAGGTAGTCTTAGTCCAATAAGAAAATGTTAATACAAAACGCAAGAGAAAAGATAGGCCGCATATTTTTGTTGTTATTTTTTTTTCGTTTCAAAAAGAAGCCACGAAAGAGTCCAAAAGAAGGGGTAGAGACCAAGAAAATGAGTAAGAACGCAAAAATACCTCAAAAAATCATCATCATTTAAAGGCAGCAACATCATCATCGGCATTATTATTGCCCAAACTTAATGGCCATTGTTAAAACCAAAAATAGTTTCATTCTTATGAATTCACAACTAAGTCGTCGGTAACAGTAACGACAACAACAAACAGCCTCTTGTTCTCGCTATTGGGCCTAGTATGTTTTTTTTAGTTAAGGTCTGACGGCCGAATGGTTTTGTAATTATTTACAGAAAACGAAACTGGGCAAAAATCAAGACTTACCCATACATAGGCAACTAGGCTCACACACACGTGCTTCTATGAAATATTTCTTCTCTTTTACGCTTGCTTCTCTACTCAAAACAAATTCTTCAAAGTCATTAACAAAAAAAAAATCCAAACCACCATATAAAATAAAATAACAAAAAAAAAAAAAACGAAAAAAAACTCACACGAGTTGAACATTTATTTCTTACGAATCATAATAATTATAAACAAAAACAACAACAATAAATAAATTATTAAATTTTATATATTTGGTGTTTACCTTTCACAAGTCCAGTCGAGCAATCATGGCCTTTTGTGTGTTTTACAACAAGTGATTTTTAATAAAAAAAAAACTAAAAAAAAATTACCAAACAAAAGAACCAAAAATAACTACCCACCAAAGGAAAAACAAATCATTAACACCAAGTTAAAACTACGACAACAATTACTTTATAACAAAAAACAAAAAAAAGCCTGTGTAATATAATTATTAAAATCATAAACGTTGATTTTCTATAATTTGTCTTTTTGTAATCTCTTTTTTTTCTAGAAATCAAAACTAATTTTCCCCAACGTCTAAAGCAAAAAAAATAAAAAAAAAATTAATAACTCTTGTGTGAACTCTTCAAAAAGCTAAAGAATAAAAATTCACGTCTCTTTAAAAATTCAAGAGCAGCTTTAAAATCACGAAAAAAATATTAAATAAAGATATCACTGAGAAATCTACGCTTAACAATCAATCTTCAATCTCAAAAACAAAAACAAAAACCTACGCATATCCGCTGACTAAAACTTAATTGGTAAATTTCAAAACTTTTAAATTTCATTCAATATTTGTTTATTAAAAATTAAAGTTTATTTTCGATTTTTGTTTTGATGTTCACAAAGTTTTAATTACAAACTATTATTCTTTCTTATCCTTCTGTCTTATTTTATATCAAAAATATATTTTAATTATTTTATTTTTTAATTACAAATTATTATCCTTTCTTATCCCTCTGCCTTATTTTATATAAAAAAAAATATTTAATTATTTTTATTTTTTATTTAAATTATTATAATCTATCCCCCTTCATAGATTATAATAATTTAAATAAAAATAAAAATAATTAAAATATTTTTTTTATATAAAATAAGACAGATCGAATTTTTTGGTTTTATTTATAAGGGTCTGGTTACATTTTTTGCTTGGAATATTTTTTCTTTTGAATACTTTTCCATTCAGATGGTGGATTGTTATACCCTTCACCTTTGTAAGACCTCCTAGTCACCATAAAGTACTTGTATTCATTGGCAGTGTAAAACTCCACACCCCAATTTCAAACCAAAATCCGTTGGAATTTTAAATTCCATGATATTTGATGGTAGATGTTCTCCTCTTAAAAATTTCCAATATATGCCCCCACGGTACACCTTGATTTTCTGCATTTGAAATGGTCGAATTGTCGGTTCAGTCACTGGCGATATTTAGAGGTTTTCGTTCCATTTTCCAACCAAATCCGATTTTAAAATTTTGGGTTCTTTATAAAATATATGAAATTTAGGTCCGCTCCTATAAAATACGTCTATTCATTGGCAGTGTAAAACTCCACGCCCCAATTTCAAACCAAAATCCGTTGGATTTTTAAATTCCATGGTATTTGATTGTAGATGTTCTCCTCTTAAAATTTCCAAAATATCCCCCCACGGTACACCTTGATTTTCTGCATTTGAAAAGGTCGAATTGTCGGTATAGTCACTGGCGAGGTTTTCGTTCCATTTTCCAACCAAATACGATTTTAAAATTTTGTGTTCTTTATGAAATATATTAAATTTAGGTCCGCACCCGATCTCCGGATTTTTTTTTATGATTTTTAATCTTGCATTTCGAACTTTTAATGGATAAACAGCTCTCAAAAAATATTCAATGTGGGACCACGTTTTGGTATAATTTAATCATTTCGATTTTTTGTAGGCAGATTTACCCCCCTCAAAAAAATATTCAACACCGGGCCTATAGATATCCCCTTACCCCATTTTACTATAGCTCCTGATTTCATCCCGAGTTCCAACTAAAGCAGCTTTTTCAAATAAATTTCTCTGTAATTAGATTTGCTACTCGCAAAAGATATTAAATTTAGATCCGCCTTTTCGTATAACCCCATACAACTGTATCTCCGAATTTTCGTTTTTAATCTTTCGAAGTCAATCAGTTTTAATCTTGCATTTCGAGCTCGTAGTGGGTTAAAAGATCTCAAATAATATTCAATGTGGACCACGTTTTGGTCTAACCGCATATGACTGTATCTGTCGATTTTTCGTTTTTTTTTTTTAACTTTTCCACCAAATCAGCTGTATAAAAATTGGCACTTGTTGGTCATAATGGGTTCTAATGTTTCCTTTGCCCTAAAGTGGGCATTAAAAGTTCGGCCCGGCCGAAATTAATTTTATTAATTGTTTTTTGATTACTTTGTTTTTTTTTTTAATCTGTTCGTTCAGTTGTTTTTAAGAGTTTTTTTCTTTTAGTTATCCCTTTTTATATTGTAATATTTTTTTTCAAAATTTTCTAAAAATCCAATTTCTTTGTTTAACTCTTGTAGAACAACTCTTCAGAGAATCTCTTCTGCGTAATTTCGAAAAAAAAAAACGTTCTAGTGGTATTTAACCCCATTTGGTCCAAACCAAACCATCACATCCTATATCCAAAACCAAACTTTTCCTTTCCTCTGAATCAAAATTTCATAAACGACATTTATACGAATTATAAGAAAAAGAATTACAACAAATCGTTGCTTGGTCATTAGCGAAGAAAAATTTAGGAGAATTAAAAAAAAAAAAACATATATAGGACAATTTTGAAAAAAAAAGAGAATTCTTTGAGAGAGAGTAGAAAGAAGGAAACAAAGAGTTAATATTTTGCCAAAAACAAAAAAGTTAAAGAAAGAGATTGTGCAATATATATTTATAGCTGGAAGATATATAGTAGAAACCAAAACCAAGGTTGTTGTTATCCAAAGAAAATACAAAATAATTTTAACAAATTAAATCCCTCACAAAGGCAATTATCGTAAAACAAAAACAAGCAAAGGTTGTTGAGAGCGTTTTTAAAATACAGTAATCAAACAGATTTTAACTAACGCCCGCCCGCCCCCTTACACCCACATACATTTTACCTTAAGAAAGAAGAAAGCCAAAAACCCATAAGAAATCCCCAGGCAATTTTTAGCAATCTTAAAACAAAGCAAGAAATCAAGAATTCAATATTCAAAAAAGCAAAAAAAAAAAAAAAAAAAAAACAAGTCAATTGATGTTACATTCAGAAAAATAAACTATACAAATATTATACATAAAAATTATATACATTTGTAGAATATATACATATTTTTAATATTTATATATATAAATAGAGAAATAACAAGAGCGAGAGAAGAAGAAGTTAGAAGAAAACATAACATTTTAATCCTTGATAGTTAGTCAAAAAGACTTTTGTGAAATATTTCATTCAAACTCAGAAAATAAAAAAACTTAAATAAAAATTGAAAAATAGTTCAATATCAAAGTAGCAAAAAAAATAAAAAAAATAAAATTATATAGAAGAAAAATTTTGTTATTAGCATAAATGAAAGTAAAATAAGAAGAAGGATATCAAAGGTAATATTAAATACAAAGTCAAAGGTTTGGCAATATTTTTGTATAGAAAAAGAATTGCTGCAAACCACATCAAATTTGACTCAAGAGTACGCGTTTTGACAATCAATACAAAATTAGCGTGAACATAATATTAAATATACATTTTTAAATATAATCTCAAACATATACATAACATAGCATATAGAATTTTCAATTTGAAAAAAAAACATACTTTTTTCCGATTCCCTATTACGAATCGAAACTGCAATCATCTACACAAAACCCAAAAACAATCAATCTCTGTGTGATTTAAATTTATATAACCTAAAAAAATTAATAACTGATCAACAATCAATCCAATATCCTCTTACTCTGGACAATCTATTTCTACAATTTTTCTACAAGAATAGAAAATAAATAAAACCAAAAGTGATCACCTTCTTTTTGTCTTACTTCTACAAAAAAAAAATACCAATCTAAGGATAATATCCCCTCAAAGCAAAACCTCTTGGACAATCTTTCTACAATTTAAATATTTCATAAAAACCCCAATTTTATATCTCGACAATCTATATACTTGTCTTTTACTCTAGTATTTATAAACTCTATACATATATATAAAATAAAACTTTTAAACATATAAATATACATTAGCAACAATCAGCATATCTAGCAGAACTTTTATTGCACAAAATCGGAAGAAAAAAAAACAATCAATATCCCCATTTTTGACAATCCTTTTTAGCAAAACAAGTTTCTAAGCCACCTCTTTTTCGTATATATAAATATTTATACTCAGAAAAAAAAAACAAAGCTAATCACAGTGTTTCAATATATTTACCTTTAATTGTAGAATTTATCTTAGCAGAAAACAACAACAAACTATAGAAAACAAATCAAAAGAATAAAACCAAAAAAGAACTATTTAAAGAAAGAAAACCTAATCAAAACTCTTCAATCAAAACGAACACAGAATAAAAAGCAACAATTTGTTCCATATCACTTCATATTCATACATATAAAAAAGAATTGGCTAGCACATACATATTTACATAGTCAAAAAATATAGAAAAAAAAAAAACAAAACAAAAACAAAACAACAAAAGTTCCACATTAGAACACATTGTTTCCTGTCTATCCTGACCTTTGCAATAACTTAAACTCCACACCCCCCTCAACAACAAAATACCACCAATCGACGTGCAAATCAAATAAAAAGTCAGCAAAAGTTTAAAAAACAAAATCACAAAGTAAGAAAAATAAACTTCAAAAAAATCTCAGTGATCTTAAACAAAAATCCACCAACAACTAGCAGAACAGCAACAACAAATACTTACATCTTGCATCGAGTTTCAATTTCCAATTGAAAACAAGAAAAAAAAGCTAAGCTCATCATCTTCCAGCTTTTCTTCAACACCAACAACTTCGCCTGCAAAACGATTATAATGGTAAGAGAGAGTTGCTTTTTTATCAATGAAGTTTTGAAAAAAAATTTTGTTAATTATATAGGCTTAGGAGCATATTGATAAGGGTCCAAGATATAAGTCAGTAGAACTAAGCAGAAAATTATTGGAACATTTCTTGTAACTGGAATTGAAAACATATTGGAATTTACCAAAATTTTCGAAAATACAAAAAAAAAAAAAACAAGAATATTCAGGAGAAGGTTCTGTCGGCGGGGCTGACTATATGATACCCTACACCACTATGCGTATTTAGTAGAGCCCACGTAACAAAAAAGTTTGTATTGGGGATTTATGTGAAGTAGATCATACCAACTATGAACCAAATAGCATTGCTGTATAGTGCATGATATCACTTCAATAAGGATTATATTGGATATATATTTATTGGAGCAATAGATATACCGGGCCGAGTTTCACCAAATGGTAAAATTCGATTGAATATGACAAAATCTATTCGATTTGGGCTGATAATACAGGGTTGCCCATATTCGACGGACCCATGTTTCTTTTTGAATCAAAGAAAAAAATAAAAATTTGGCGGTTGACAATGTTAATCTTTTAATTTGTTCCAAGTAGATTTGTTTACATCAATTTTTTTGAATATGATATCTCTCAAATGGCCGCCTCTGGCGTTGATGACGTATTGTGCCCTTTTTGCTGCGTTTTCCATCGTTTTTGCCAACATTTCGGGCGGAATTGCGGCTATTTCTTCACGAATGTTGTCCTTGAGCTCTTCTACCGTCCTTGGCTTGTTAACGTAAACCTTTGACTTCAAATATCCGCACAAGAAGAAGTCAGGCGGCGTCAAATCGGGCCAAAGCAGTGCCCAGTCCAAATCACCACTTTTCGACATCAAACGGCTCGGAAACAAATTCTTCAGAAAATCGATCGTTATGCGACTTGTGTGCGGGGTGCGCCGTTTTGTTGAAACCAGAACTGCCTCATACGCTTTCGACGAATAATTGGCATCACAAAATCGGTCATCATGTCGCGATAACGCTCCTGATTGATGGTAACAGCATGGCCATTTTCATTTTGAAAGAAAAACGGCCCAATGACCGTTTTCGCACTAACGCCGCACCAAACTGTGACTTTTTCGTCATGAAGAGGCACTTCTTGAATCTCATGAGGATTTTCTGTGGCGTAAAAACTGCAAGTTTGCTTATTTACGGTCCCAGTCAATGTGAAATGGGCTTCATCGGACATGATAATTTTGTTCCAAAATTGCTCGTCATCTTCGGCCATTTCGATGACTCTTTGGGCCCATTCCAATCGACGAGGCTTGTCCGCAGGCAACATTCTTTGCGTCAATTGAATTTTGTACGGAAACAAATGCAAATCAATACGAATAGCCATGCCCACTGCTGAGAACGGCGTTAAGGACCTTGGGGACCTCTCAGCACTGGCTCATAGGGCAGCGATATTCTCGGCCGATCGCCTTGGTCGACTTTTATATGGCCTCTTCGGATTAGAACGAGCCAGTCGAAAATTTTTCGTATAAACGCTTAATGGTGTTCTTAGAAGACGCACTTCTCACATTTTTTAATGTTTTAAAAGCACGTTGAGTTTTCACAATTGACTTCTTGTAAATTTCAACTATTTCAGAGCGCTCGCGTGGCGTGTATTGGTTCATGGTAAAAATCTGCTTGGACTGACGCTTCAAACGCGGTATGTCATTAAGCGATGTGACATCTCTGTCAAAAGTTATGGCGTTGCCAGATGGGTCCGTCGAATATGGTCAACCCTGTACTTATATAGCGAGCAATAACCATAAAATCGAGGAGATAAAAATATCAGAACCGATGTTGATAAAATTTGGCAGAAATATTTTCGAGCAGTATCTGATATCCGGTATCAATGTGGAGTGCATATTATGCATGTGAGCGACTTTAACACCAAATCGGGTGAAACATGCGCATGAGAGCTATAGCTATATCTGAAGCAATTTTCATCAAAATTTTAAGCACTTGCTTTTAGGCTGAATTCCCTGGGAAATGCCAAAAATTCAGTCCATTTGGGCTGTTATAAGCCATATATCGGAGCTATATCCAAATCTGAACCGATCTTGACAAAATTTTAAAAACTTATTTCTGATACGGATCTGTATATCGGTTACCAAATAATATTGTTGTGGAGTGCACATTAGTGCATGTGAGGGACTTAGAACCCCAAATCGGATTACACATATCCAGGGTGAGACAAAAAACCAGCAACAAAGTCAAACGCCATAATTTTTACAATTTTTTTTTTTAAATTTTATTGAATGAAAGCAAAAAATGTCGGAAATAGCATCAAATTTTGGAATAAGTTTAGATTTGTTCGAATTGATCACCTTTGGCACGAATTATGGCCTTCAAACGGCCAATGAAACCGTCACATGCTGCCCGAGTGTTGCTCTGCGGTATTTTGGCCCATTCCCGGCGAAACACTTGCTTGAGGTGATCGACACTTTGGTATTTTTTGTGCCAACTTTGCTTTCCAAAATACTCCAGACACAATAGTCCAACGGATTGGTATTCTTGGGTGGCGCGAGCAGAGTGCGATGGTGTTGATTCCTGTTGGAAAGTTCAAGGTCTGCGGCCAACATGTTTGCCTGCCCAAGGCTTAAATACACCCTCCAGAATATTTTCGCGATAATATTCGGCAGTTATTCTGATGCCACGGTCGATTAATATGAGCGGAGAGTGACCATCGGCTGATATGGCGGCCCACATTGTCACCATGACCGGCGCTTGAGTTCTGGTGGCCAACCGAAGGTTCACATTTTCAGTTCACCTCTTTGGCAAGTAAATACGATCATTTTGTTTGTTTACAAATTGCTGGACAGCGAATGTTTTCTCATTGGAGAAAACTAAATTCAGCAGTTTACCACTTTCGGCCAAGCTCTCTTTGAGCCTATTTTCTTTCGGTTGAGGTATAAGTTCTTGCGCTTTTTGGAATTTTAATGACTTTACCTCGAGCTCATTTTTCAATATATGCCGAATGGAATATTGCGATATGTTCAGCTCACGAGCCATTTTTCGCATACGGCGACGCGATAAAAATGCTTTTGTACGCTTGTAAACAATATAATGAGCTGTAACTGGAATAATTTTAACAGCTGTCGGAAGTTGAATTTGGTTGCAATTTTTCCATCTCAACCCGTTTATGAAAGCTATAGCTTTATCTGAACCGATTTTCACCAAATTTAAAGTGCTTGTTTCTAGGATGAATATGGTCGGATGTGCCGAAATTCTGGTCATTTGGACTGATATTGGCATTTGGTATACAATTAAGCGGAAATTGGTCGAAGAGATATATCAGAGCTATATCTAAATTTTGACCGATTATCTCCGATTTCAATAGGGTTCGTCCTTGAACAAAACAATTTTTTTGTGGAAAGTTTCATCTTGATCTTGCAATAAATTGCGACCTGTCCTTTTTTTCACAAAAATATATGTGGACGGACAGAAGGACGGACTTCGAATAAGAATGTGATTTCGAGACTAATTTTGAAACCAGAATGGTTAGAGTTTCGTTCAATATGCCAAAAATTTAAAGTGCAGCAAATTTAGGAATGCATCAATATTACGAAAACCAATTATAGGAAATATTGAATAAAAGACCATAGATACATTGATAGCTCTGAGACCAACTCATAACCAGATTACAGTTTGAAAAATGATAATGAGAATTGCTTGCTTTCCTAATTCCAATATTCCCCACGTTGTTGCATAAGGAAAATGAAAATATTTGTCATTCATGAATATTCGCCTGTCTTCGGATATGACCTCAAAATTGTTGCGATAGGAAATGACACAGCGGAACATTTACCAGACTCTATGAATAATTCATTTTGTCACTGTTTATCAAAATATTTCCATCAAAAAATGCAGGAAACATTCTATTAATTTATTTTGGTGATTTTAAAATTCCTATGCTTTCGAATTAATTGTCTTATCAGTTTAAGATTTACAGTGTTCAGTGAACGAATAAGGGTAATTACAATAGGCGAACATTGAGAAAACACAAAAGGGATAACGTTCGAATTCCCAATTTCAAATAAACACAACATTGAAGAAAATCTTTTCCGTTGTAAAGAAATGTTCCAATAATTCTGCATAGTTGAAATTTTGTATTGAAAGTATGAAAAAAAATTAGGATAGTGTTTTATCGTAACGTTATATTATTATATTTAAAATAAAAGAAAACAAGAAATGATTGAGAGAATTTGGTTTTCCTGAAGTTTTCAAAAAAAAAAATAAACTTATGTTATTATCTTTACAACTTTGTTGGTAGCAAACAAAAATTACAACTTTTAAACTCTTATAACTTAAGATTACAAACTATAAACTCTATTATGCTATGACTACTATTTTCTGCTACTACAACCACTACCACTGCTACAATTTTCATTTAATTTCAATATTTCTTTGCAAATAAAAAAAAAAACAACTTCTTTGTATGTCCTTTTGCTTCTACCTTTAAACTGGCAAGAAATTGTTCATTTCTCAGCTCTGCTCCTCCTGATCTCTGATTATTCTTTCTCTGTCATCAAAGTCACAATTCTTTGTAATATTTGAACTGTGTTTGGTTTCTACGCAAATAGCAAATGGGGTTTTCCATTTTCTGCTGCTATTCCTTCCACTATTTCACTCTAGTTCTCCCACTCTCTCACCTCCTTCTCCTTCTTGTTCTTTGGTTGATAATTTTCTTGTTAAATAACAAATAAATATAAATAACTTAAAACAATAACTTCCACAACTATTTTGTATTTACTTAATTAATGGTCACATATTTTTTTCTGGAATTTTTTTTCCTTAAAAGCACTCTAGGTTAAAGTTTTTTTCATAAAATAACACCACCACCTTCAACAACAAGAAAATTAAAACAAAGAGTTGTATATTCTAATATTTGTTTTTATTACCATAACTACACTTTTTTTTTGGTTTGTGTTTTTTTTTTTCTTGTTCTAATTTCCTCTAGAAATCTTAAATTATCAT